TGACCGCATGATCACAAAGTTCATGATATACAACTACATAATACACTGAAAGCTGAAACCCTGAGTTGATTTGTGTGCATAAACGATTCTGGGTTATCCCAGTCACGACTGGAATTGAACCGTTTATATAAATTCATACAACATTTCCATAATCATGCCAACATGAATTTTGAGCCCTAGTTTCGTTTTCATTGTTACTTCAACTTCCTTCAAATCCACTTTCATCATACCAAACCAGGCGTAAACATGAATAGCCTGCGTTAACGCAAGAAACCTCTGCTATGAAAAATGAACACAAACCCCCGAAAAAACGGTCCGATCTACTTTTATAGGAAAGGAACAAAACATTCCACGACGTTGGGCTACAATTGATATGTAAAGCTTCAGCATCGACAACATGATGACAATGATGACACGCAACTAACTGTGACTCAGGAAGAGGCTACAACAGCACGACGCTTGTGTCCAATAAATGCTTGAAGGAGTTCCTGATATCCACTCCTATAGTGGTCCAGTGAAAAGCAAAGTTGCCGTATTGCCTCCCTCTTTTCCTCCGCTCTGTCCGAGATCTCAGCGTTTTGTCCAGCCACCTCTTTCTCCAGCTCTTCTACTTTCAGCCTCAACTCATTTACTTGATTCATTTTAGTTTCAGATTCTGAACTCAGTTCTGCCTGTTGCTTTAGTAACTGGCTTAGCTCTCTCTCCTTATTTTCAATCTGATTATCTCGGAAGCTCACTTCTGCCTCAAGTTTATGGATCCTAGCATTGGCCTCATCTTTTTCAGTCATGAGCACGTCATACTTATGTTTATACCTGTCGAACTCCTTATTCAAAGCCTCTATATCACATATGTTCTGACCAAGTTCTTCCTTCAAACGAGTGATTTCACCTTCCAATAGCAGCTGCTGCGTCGCATGCAGCTCTCTCAGTTTCAACTTTTCAGCTTCACATTCCTCTAACTTACTTTCTAAAATGTTGCTTCTTGATTCCAATTCCTTGAGTCTATCGTCCATCTGTAGTTTTTCTTCTGATAAAGTTGCTATACCAGACTGCAGCTGACTTTTCTCTAAAGAGATCTGTTCCTGGGCATTCAGCATTTCAGACTTCAACTTTTGCATCTCAAGCTCGCGTTTAGTTTCATTAGTTTTGTGCCATGTAATTCTGTCTTCTAACTCTTGAACTTGCTTTCTCCCTGAATCAAGCTGGGCTTCTAACGCGGCTATATTTTCATGTGCTGCTTCAAGTTGACTTGGCAAATCTCGAGTACCATCACATGACCTACTCAATAGTTCCCCTTGTAACCTTGTAGCCTCATCATTTGATGCTTTGAGCTGTTCTCTAGCTACCTCCAACTCTTCCATCAACTTTGCTATCTTGTTGAAACAGTCTGGAACATGGGTTTCCAAAGCAGCTGTTTGTTTTTGCAACTCCAATACCTGTCCTCTTTCGTATTCAAGGTCAGCCTCCCTCATTTTCAATTCATTTTGAACATGATCAAGCTGATCCTTGTGCTTCTCCATCTGATTTTTTAAATTGATAATCTCCTTTTCTGAGATCTGAATGTTCAAGTTTGAAATTCTCAGCTCCTCCGCATTTTTAATAAATTTTCTAAGTAACTCTTCATAAGTTATGTTCTCTATCACCCGCGATATATTATCTGGGTCATCTTCCTGGTCCATGTAATTCTGTCGTTCTATGCCATTGAATTCTCCTTTCAGCTTAGTCTCTTTGGGAAGAATTTCGACGTCGTCTGATTTTACAGGCAACCCATGGTGATGGATTACAGATGAATTAAAAGATACGGATTCTGAGGATAACGATGAGGATGAGGAGAAGGGGGATCCAGAGCCCTCCTTCAGAGAAGTCAGAGAGTTATCACCTCCAGAGTTTAGAGATATGTCTATATTGACTGGTTGAAGGCCAGATGTCTGCAATCCCTGCTTTTGGTATGGAGTATAATAGGGAGTCACCACCTGAGTCCCTTGGTCATTAACTGATTCAGAACTCTTAGAGCCTTCCATCTCAAAATCTGATGGTTCTGTCTTTGATAAGAACCTTGCACTAAAACAAAAATTCGAAAAGAGTGTAAGTTCAGTGACCTTCGTCCTTCTAACAAATTAGACCTAAAGAGTTGAGAAGAGAACCAATTCCCAAGTCATAATGCAGACCATGTCCTTTCACAGCCTCAGAGACTTTGGTTATATAATGATAGGTTCTGAGGAATACGTTCCAGCGACAGAGCAAAATAATAGGGAAATAACACAAAGAAGTAGGGAATGCTGAGATTTTGATATTGATAGCAAATTAACTGAATCAGTGTTACAATAGACTCTCAATAATTCAGATCAAAATCCTATTCCCTAATACAATCACAACTAGCAAAATGAAGCAACCAACCAAGCCTAAGCAAGGTCCAACTCCCCGCCCATGAGCACCAGTCCTCTCAAGTGTATCACACTACCAAAAGAAACCATCATCCCCCAAAAGAAAGCCATTTCCCTAATATAAGCAGCAACAAAAGTAACAAAAGAGACCTAACGAAATGTCAAAGTCTAACGCCACCCTATCCCTCATTCCTCTGACTTTAATGTCCCTTGACTTTCCTTTTATAGGTCTGATCACAAACAGTAGCTCTATCATATAACTCACTGCTATAAGTAAGTAATTAACAAACATTGCGCTAGAAAAATAAATCTATTATGATTTATGTAATGGGAAATATTATGATTTATAGAATGGGAATACCAAAATCAGCAAGAATCAAGTCATACAATCAAATACATCTGTAAGTAATAATATAAGAATCCATAAAGCAAGATGAATACTATAGCTCACAACATGCTTTATGCAAAGTATGAGACCTGCATTCCAGTTATTGCCTTATTTTCTTTCCGTTTTCTCCAGCGCAAAAAGCAAGATGCTAAAACAAGTGGTCAACGTTAATTTACTGAAAGTTTACAATCTAAGACGCAACAAAACAGAGAAAACAACAAATACTGGGAAAATCTTAACACAATCTTGTGATGTGAGCACAATCTTGTAACCCCAAAGTACTCCCTTGAAGACAGGCAATAATCAAGTTCTATAAAGTTATATCGCTATTTTAGATCTATGAGTGCACATTTCTTAGTTGACTTGAGTGAGCTTCACCTCAAAGCTTTATCAAATCTGATTGCGTACAGTAAAACTTATGACCATCAAATTTGATTTTATGCTATATATCTTCATTTCATAAGAACAAATCACGCCCATGTGCATCGGCTTGGCCCTTTGCCAGCCGCAAAGTTTGTGCAACAATTCATCCCCGGAGTGCCTACCTTCTCTTGGCAGGGCACACCCTCTACATACTTTCACTTCACTTCGTCTTCATCGCTCCATTTTAAAACCATGTCAATATAGTATACCATTGTGGACTACTCGCCCTTAAATAGACGTCAGAGTTTTGACGTATGTTGGTTTAAAGCTGAAATGAGCAAAATTACGACAACCCTTAAACGGCATACAATCCTAGAGTTATTTTTTTATCATCAAACAAAGTAATCAACGTTAAAGATTGGAAAATTACGACCAAATCCACCACCAGAGCGAAACAGGAAGCAGAGTTGATTACACCATTTCCTACTATACAACGACCATGAAACAGATCTGCAGCTACTGTATCTCAAAATACACAACCAAACCATGCGAGAAGGAAAAACTCGCCGGCATTGAAAGAAAAGTTCGAACTTGGAGTTGCATCAATAAAAATTGACACAAACAAAACTATGAAGTGGATTCGAGAACCTGCAAGAGCTCGAAGCTTGAACCGCCGATGCCAAAGCAGATTCTGGGTATTAAATGAAGCTTGGAGGTTGGGGCCCAAGAGAGGAATAAAAAGCGTGATATTCTTTTATGGGGATGAGCTAAAAAGGATTGGAAGAAGGAGGGAGACTGTAACTGGAATTAAGCAAAAAGCAAAGCCGGGGGCGCCTTTAAAACAGAGCCAAGGGGAAAATGCTGAGTGACACGGGGACTTGCCCCCGTGGATTTGGGTTTGTCATGAAGCCCGCGTTTTCTCCTCTAAAAATTCCTTAATATTCCCAAAATGCCCTTTTTCTCAATGAACATGTGAATTTCTTTTGGGAAAATTATTCAAAGAAAAAGAAAATAACTGTCAAACGTCTCAAAGACAAATCATAAATTACCATTCCTTACTGTAGAATTTGACATTACATAAATTTTTCAGTAATTTGAAACTTTATTTTGCAATTCTCCCGTTTTCTTTTTGTCCGTTACACAGTGCTTGAGCTTGGCGCCTTGAAAATCGGCTAGGCAGGTGTCGGAACTATCTCATATAAGTTTGGGAAGATTAAAATGAGGTTCTAAATAAAAAAATAATTAAAAAAAAGTTTTAGAGATTGTTTTACTCACTATAAAACTTATTATAATAAACTGTTAAAATTATTATTAAAATTTTATACTTGATTATAATTTCTTTTATTAATTCCCTCTCATTTTCTTTGAAGGCGCTCTAACCCTTTCTCGCACATGGTGATTATTAGATGATTAGATCCGATGGTCTCCAGCCTTAGCTCCACGCGTGCAATCACGTGCTACCGGTAAATCCAACTAGTCATTCAGTCAACACCTCACAAGCTCGTACTTTCGGTTTTCAGTGCATTAATTAAATTTTACTCCTTTAATATTTAATATAAACCTAATTTAAATTTATTTTATATATTTATTAATTTTAAATTTTACTCCTCCAAAATCTAATATAGAATCTAATTTAAGAGTTGACATTAATCTTCTACGTAAAACCTATTTCATATACTTATCAATTTTTTTTAAATTAATCATATTGATATTCCTTAAATAATAATCAGGCAGAAAAGAGAAAAAAAAATTAAAGAAGACAATAAAAGTGTTTTAAAAAAACATATTATATTAATTAATTTAATTAACATAATTAATCAAGTCAAATTAATTAATCAGGTTAGGAGTATTATTTAATAGAAGGAACAAATTCAAGACTTGTTGTGGTGATAAAAACTAAAATTGGAAAAACAACGCACATATCAAGATCATAACTATCAATATATCACGTAAAATTACTTAAACTTTATGCATTTACATAAACAATCTTTCAGTTACAAAATCAATTGTTAATTTAACGTTTTCACTATGTTTTCCACTTCAAAAAAAAAAGTCATCCGCCATTCAAATCCGGACTGTCTCGTCAAATGAACAAATCGCTTCTACTATGATTTTTATTTATGAATGGTAAAATGACTAAAAATATAGGGGCATTCTCGTAATTATAACATGATAGAGTAGATTTAAAGATGTGGGCCAAGGGCCGGCCCAGAGGTATAATTCCCGCGAAAACAGATAAAATTATGGCGGGAAAAAGAAATAAGGCGAGCATCAAAGTTGCCACCTGCCCTTATCATCATCCGCCTGCCGGGCCCATTCGTATTTCATTTTCTTTGAAGAGTTAGTGAGTCTTTATTTTGTCTGAAATTTTGTTATCTAATCATATCATTAGATAATTCATATGATCATCTCATGATCACTTAAAATAATTAGAACTTTAGGCTCAACAAGAAATTCAACATAACACAGTTTTTGTCGCTTTTTTTTTTTAATAAAAAATGTAGGATTATCCCATATCCTCTGCTCTGCATAAGGGTAGAAAGATACAAAATCCTTTTCGTTTTCGGGAGAGCAAGACAAAAGATATAAAATATAGAAAAACAATAAAACAACAAATAGATGCATTTATAATTATAATTTGTTTTAGTGTGACGTTTATTTTGAGAGTCAAGAATGAAGGGGTTTATATTTTAGCCACTGCAAGCTTTAAAACGTGCTCGTTAACTCAGATATGAGCATGAAGGATAATTGATCAATTTGTATTGGTGAGGTGGTTGCAAAGGAAAAAAAAAACAAAATCACTGTTAAGCACTTAATGGGACAACCAAACATGGCCTTCGCTGCCTACGGTACAGTAGGAGTATTCCAATAAAAAACCATCCTTTGGATGTGCAGCAAGCGACGGGGGTGATTGGAAAATGGAATACTAAACAAGTAATTAAGAATTAAGGAGGTGGGGGTGTGGGAGTGGAAGATCAAATCCTACTAGCAAGCATATGTTGTTTGACTTTTTGGTTCTCAATTTGAATACTCGAAATATCCTTTTCAGAGATAATGGAATTTTCTTGCTCACACAATTTCTTTCAATCACGCGTCAAATTTGCATCATAAGAATGGCCCTTTAAGTCACCACACCCTTGAGTGCCTTGCAGGATACCACGTTGTTATATATTAGAAAAAATTAAAACACCCACAATCACAATGCATATAAAACTCAGACCATTTGATCTCATCTCTAGTCAATGTCACTGCCAGGTGTATGTATATGCGATCCAAGCAGAAAAGGCTGGTTCAGGAAATCAGTGGCTAGATTGGCAGCTCATCATTGTCATTTTCTGATTGTGAAAAGTCACGAATAGTAGGAACAACCAATGCTATGTATACGTGTTTGATTATGCATTTCCTGCTTGTATTCCATACTTGCCATAGAAAATTCATGTGCCGCCCGGAGGCAATCAAGAAAGAATCGCTATTATTACCTCCAGTTCTAATTATAAGAACCAGTTAACTAATTTGAAGAGATTAAAGAAAGAAGTTAAGTTAGTTATTTGTAATAAATGTGTCGTCTTTCCTAAAATATCCTTACTAATCAACTATATTGGCTAGAACTATAATTATTAGAAGGACTACATTGGAAAAAATATATAAATATGAGAGACAAAGTAGACTGGGATTTTATATTTAAGAACAAAATAAAAACCAAACAAGATCTTATATTAAGGATCAGAGGTAGTACTAGGTACTGACTCAGTCGTTAATTTATTTTTCCCGGTTAAACCTGCAAAATTAAAGTGAAACAGCTTAACTTGGTCCTTCAACTGAAATTACTTCTTGGGATGACCATGTAATTTTTGCGTCGTCTGTAAAATAAATTCAAGAAATTTCTCGGGAATAAAATAATTAACCCACTAAAATGAAATAAGAAGAAGAAGAAGAACGCGCCAAACAGCAGTCCTGAGTAATCAATCTGCTCCCAAAATCCAATCCTCGACGTGAGAAAGCAACTTCTGAACTTTTATACTGAATACTGATTCATAAAACCTTATTCTTGAACAGAGAAACTGAATTTTTAAATTCTAGGCCATTGCACAGATCTCAGCGACTTGTTATAACTTGCAAGTGAAAAGAAAGAAGTACAAGTTGATTAAAAACAAAATTAGGCTCTTTCTTGCCTGTTAATCTAATACAACGAATAGGCTTTTTGAGAATATTGAAGCATTGCACATTTGAAACAAATTTTTAGAAAATTTTAATCTGTCACGTGGACATGAAGGCAGCAGCTCTTCTTTTATTTCCTTTAATTCTTTTTTAAAAATAAGCTTCAATAATTTCCTTTGATTCTTCAGGAAATTCATAAAACCAGGTAGTGCCCGTGCCCCTATGTAAAATCTGATTAATAATATAACACCGTTTTCAATTTGTGACGAGTATCATCTCTAATAGATTCTGTAATTTATATTTAATATTGATGATTTTAACTGATCAAAATAAATGCTGAAAACAGGCAAGAAGCCATAAACCCATTAGTAATAGTAATGGAAAGTGCACGTGTTTGAAATATTCGACCTTTATTAATGACTTTAAATAAAAGCGCAATATTTTGATTAATTGGCCTTTTCTTTTAGGGCTTATCTGTAATGGCGAGCACAAAATTCCTCCAGTGGATGTTGACAGCCACATGATTGTGAGGGCATCTATCTCCTGTCCATTCACATGGCCAGATAATCTTCATATTCTTTTCTCTTTTTTGTTTCTACCACTTTTTCACTGGCCTTCCCCCTGTACAGTAATTAGATTATACTATCTCCGGTTCTAATTATAAGAGCCAGTTGACTAATTTGAAGAGATTAAGGAGATAAGTTGAGTTAGTTATTTGTCCTAAATAGGTATTGTTTTTTCTAAAATATCCTTACTAATCAAGTGTATTGACTAGAACTATCATTATTAGAAGGGTTACTTTAGAAAAAAAAAAGTATAAATATGAGAGAGAAAGTAGATTGGAATTTTATATTTAGGACCAAAATAAAAGCCAAACATTGTCTTATATTAAAGATCGGATGTAGTATTACTTACTATTATTCAACCAGAAACGTCCTTTTTAGCTCTTAATTCAACTTTTCCTGTTAAACCAAAAAGGTTCGTAACTTTCTCCATGTATTAATAAACATTGTTCATGAACATCAGAAACTTTCTTCATGGAATGGTTCATAGAAAGAGGGAAGCTGCGTTCTCTTCTGCATATTTCGTTCGTTGACCAAGATCACCCATTAATTAAAACCACACTATATATTCCATACTGACATGGAAGCTGTAACTTTCTAGGATGGGGTATTTTTCTTTGGTTTTGACTTGTTAATTCTTTATTCCTAAGTCCTGTCACTGTACAAGCCTGTACAAGCCTACTTGGTCATAAACACGGCATTTTAGGCCGGACATGGAGATCCAAGGCCGCTATCAGTTATCAAATAGAATCCAAGTAATCAATAAATTATGAAGAAAATGAAGATAATGTCGGCCAGCACGATATTATTAAATTGTATGACAACATTAAAAAGTGATTACTATGAAACACATCAGTGTCCCATTCCCGACCGGTTTCATTTTCATATCCAGTTGATTATTGGGCAACAAAAGAAAAACAGAAACTCTTGCCAGGCTGTTCAAGGACAGCTCTCCATTTCCAAAGCTATATCTTCTCACCGCGAGAAAGTCTAATTATACGTGAGCACATATTGTGATTTGCTTATGAGTGTTCCATACGAAATGCTATAGAAGTAAAAAGCAATCTGGAGCCTTCTGAACCACTTCATAAAAGTCCAATCCTCCACCGAGTGCATCATACGCTTGTGATATGCCAGACTGAGTTATCATCCATAGATGTCTCCTTGGAATTTTTGATATTTTCAAAGATATTCAAATGGAGCTGACCTCATCCCCAATAAAGATATCATTAACTAATGAATATTCCAATGACAATGATTAACAAGGAGAGTAAAAAGGCTACCATCATGAACCCATGAGACTATTCCCACCCCTATATATGCTCAGCATAAGCTTAGCCCACCACCAAAGCAAAAGTGATAAAGTATAAGTTGTTGAAGGCAGAGAAAGTAATGGCTGCAACAGATGATGGGGCTCACCTGAGAGGAACTATTCCCCGGAAGCAGCACTTTGTGCTCGTACATGGCGTAGGAGGAGGAAGCTGGTGCTGGTACAAAATCCGCTGCCTAATGGAGAACTCCGGCTACAAGGTTTCGTGTGTAGACCTCAAAAGCTCTGGGATTGATCGATCTGACGTTGATTCTGTTCTCTCTTTTGATGAGTACAACAAACCTCTTATGGATTTCATGTCTTCTCTGGCTGAAAATGAACAGGTTTTCCCTTGTCTCCCATATCCCATCTCTCTGTCTGTCTGTTTCTCCAGCTTAAATGAGAATTCACAAGCAAGACAGAATACTTCTGTATAATTTTTAGGTGTTTGTTATCAGGCTCTCTGAAAAAACAGAATAACAAGTCGTTATTTTTTACAGCTGGATAACTATTTCCAAAAAATTTCATCACATGTCATGTGTTTCATCGAGAATTTGATAACAAATTCTCAAGGAATTTTAACTAAATCCCATCCATACGCAAACTATAGAGGCTAAGTTTCACTTCTGACACCATATTGGTGATGTCCTACAGGTGATACTTGTAGGACATAGCGCAGGAGGGTTAAGCATTACACAAGCCAGTCACAAGTTTCCAAAAAAGATCCGTTTGGCAGTCTATGTTGCGGCAACCATGCTCAAGTTGGGATTCTGGACAGATGAAGATCGCAGAGAGGTGAGTAATTTTCATTGAATCGGTTGTGTCCCTTTTGCTTCACCTTTGAATGCCTTCTCCTTATAAACTAGTTTCTTAAAGATTGAATTCAATGTGTCACGCATGGCTTCATATTAAGCTTAATGAGAATAAATATTTGCACACAGGGTGAGTGGGTAATAGAATTGGGTAACTTGGGATGCCTGGTGAGTGTATAATATATTGGCTTGCATTGATGATTTTATAAATGGCAACAAGAGGGGTATGGGGGGGCCCACCCAATAACCCAAACAGAGAAAAACAGAAACTTTCCAACCCATTTTCCGAAGAGGCTGGAATGTGTACGAGTAACTCTACTTCACCTCACTTGTAATCATAATGGCCTCTTTCAATTTAATTAATTGCCCCCATCCGAAGCATTCTTATAATTTAGCTGGTGCCATTAAACCCCACAGGTCCACAACACAGCAATCTTCGTATATTAATCATGACAGACCACTTCCACGTCCATTTTGTCTCGTTGGGACACGCGTGTCAAATCTCTTGCCTTTTCCCTTACTTTCAACTTGAACGGGTGTCATCCGACAGCCCTCCTCTGTAATGTTATCCGTTTTACTTTGTCTAATACTACCTCATGTCCTAAATATAAAAGCTAGTTGATTAATTTGAGTAGATCAAGACTATAAATTATGTTAGTTATTTGTAATAAATAAGTATTATTTTTTCTAAAATATTTTTGCTAATCAAATGTATTGATTATAACTATTATTATTAAAAGGACTATTTTAAAAAATATGTATAAATATAAAAGATAAAATGGATTGAAATCTTATATTTAAGATTGAAATAAAAGTTAACACGAGGTTTTATATTAAGAATCACATGTAGTAGTAAATAATAACTCTGTTCGATCATCAATATGCCTCCAATGATTGAGCAAGAACGACAAACTAGTCAACCTAAGGGATTGCTTTTCATGATAGGCGTGTTTCTGACTTTTTAATTTTTATGCCTCAATTATAGTGAAAAAGAGTTCGTACTCTGTGTGAAACAGGGGGCACCAGACTTATCTGAGTTTGGGGATGTGTACGAGCTTGGATTTGGACAAGGACAGGATGAGCCTCCAACCAGTGTGTTGGTCAAGAAAGAATTTCAACGCAAAATCATCTATCATATGAGCCCTTATGAGGTATGGCAATAGTTCTCCCCGGAAAAGGTCTTCTTTTGTGTTTACGTGACAAATGCCTCAAATTCAACCTTTGCTTTTTGGCCACATCGAGGACCATTTCTCGCAAGCAGCCGAGCCAACTATGTTGATGTACATAAAAAGAAGGAACTGCATTTTAGGATTGAAAAAGGAAAGCCAACAAAAAGCTCGAAGAACAAGTGGGGTTGGTTTCAAATTTTTAACGCGCAGTGCTTAGTTTTTTATTTTTTTCAAATAAAGACGTAGTTTTCCAAGGAAAGCACCAGAATTTTACCGAAAAAGCAAGCAACTGTAGGAAACAACTCAGGAAGTCGAGTAATTTATAGAAGCTGAAAAAACTAGAAGAACAAGCATGATTGGAATGAAAAATAAAATCTGAAAAAAGCGAGCGAGTAGGGAGATAGCTCTGATCTAACCAATGCAAAGAACTGTTGGTTGGGGCGCAGGATTCGACGTTAGCTGCGATGCTGTTGAGGCCAGGGCCAATGCAGGCACTGACGAACGCGCGATTCACAGAGGAGGAGGAAGGTGAAGTGGAGAAGGTGCCGCGAGTGTTCATAAAGACAATGCAAGACAAGGTATTGAAGCCTGAGCAACAGGACGCCATGATCAAGAGGTGGCCGCCATGTACTGTGTACGAACTGGACACCGACCATAGCCCCTTCTTCTCCGCTCCTTTCCTCCTCTTTGGCTTCCTGCTTAAAGCTGCCGCTTTTGACGTCGCTTCTGCCTGCACCTAGCCCTCCTTCTACCTATCCGCGCGTTCATTGTCCACTAAACAAAAAAACACTATTTGTACGATTATGATTATGATTATGATATTACTTAATCTTACCATGTGTAACTTATTCCATGTCCTCTGTATCGAACTCTATTCTCTCTCTGTTTTTTTTTTTTCCAATTCAGAATTGTCTTGTAGACTCTTCTGATGAATAAAATAAGGGAGATGTTATAAAACTACAAGAAATAAGGAAAATGAAGAGTAGAAAAAAAAGCAAGAGATAGAGAAGACAATAGCCTTTTCTCATTCACTTTGGTTCAAGGTACAAATGCCTCATGTATGTCCTCTATTTATAGGCCTCCAAGCATTGAAGTCCTATACTAAGGTTACAAAAGAATAAAGAACATCATAATAGCATTAACAATGAGAAACTCCTCCCAAGTCATTCATTAGGGAGGTTATGTAGTTTATGACACTTGAAAGTAAGAAATCCTATGAGAATTCTAAGGGTTAGGGGTTATGGACATCCACTCATGCAATATTCATAACAGGAGATTTATTTTTATGTTATTTTACGTAACGCTAGAGATATTCAATTGCGTACGTTGCGTTCCCTTTTGGTTTGGGTTATTGCTATATCGCTGACCCCAACTCTAACCAAGGTCCTAAACGCAGCTTTCTAGTATTATTTTTGAAATACTTTGGAAGGCTTGATACTTGATGGGCTTCTTCGACACAATAAATGGCAATCGGTCCATGTCTTCGAATCAGAACACGTTACGTAAATCGCGTAACAAGTAATCATTCCACCGTGGAAGTTATTCTGGATTGGCGTGCACCGCATATGCCGCGAAAGGCTACCGTTATTTTAGTTTTTTAATGATTCTCCTATATAAAGGCCGCACATAACCATTTTGTTTTCCGGATGCGCCCGATCTTCCTCCCTCTCGCCTTTCCTGCATTCTCCTCAACGTGAGTAATCCAGCCTTTTCTTTATGATTCCTTTCAGTTTTCTTTTTCTTCTTCTGGTTCAAATCGTTTCTATTCCGCGCTTGATTTTTTTTTTTTTTTGGGGTTTACTTCTTGGGGTTCTGAGACTGCCTGTCTTGTATTATTCATTATTCGGACTTGTATATAATTCGTGTTGGAATGAATAACTACATACATGTACGGGAATTGTTCATTGTTAAATCTTTTGCTTGACTCTGTCCCCCCCCCCGGGGGAAAAATAGCTTGACCATCTTATGCTTGTTGGTTATCTATGATCTTCAGGTGCTCGTTTGTGATTCTTAGTGTTTGTTAAGACAGGATTGTGCCAGCTTGTTTACAATCACAAACCTACAGGATAAATTCTTTAAGTTAGTTTATTATATGAGCTCAAGTTTTTGTGGGATGAATGACGTTTTCTTATCTTATATCAATGGGTTCTTTTATGAGAAAACATGCTATCTATTTGTATTTCCCCGCTCCTTTCCTTTTGGTATTTTTCATTTTTCTTCAGCTTGGGTTTGCATTCATTGGTATCCGAACTTTTTGATGCAAGTCCACTGCTCTGTGTCATACAGACAGGAAATAAGCATTCTCTTGTCTTGATTTACAGCACTGGCAAGCTGATCTTCATGTATTCAACAAGTACTTCTACATCCATCGTTTCCTTCAAAGAGGGAAACAAAAACAATTTCTTTTTTCTCGATTTTGGTCTGCTTGCTACAAAGTGTTCGAGGAGCCCCTGAAGTATACGTCCAACTTCCAATCTTTCAAGGGCATTTCTAGTTTTTCTATCTTTTCCACCTGTGGTCTTCAATCTTCTGGAAAGGCATATCTATAGTACTGTAGGTTTTATCAGCCATTTATTCAATTGTCCGAATCTTGTTAAAGAATCATGGTTTCCTCGCAATTATCTGCCTTTAATGGGAGTCTTTTGCAGAAGCCTTTCCCGAAGCAATTGCTTCTTCCTAGTGGATCACCTGATGTTTTGCCTTATGGTTATGATGAGGTCAATTTTTCTGATGTGTTTGGTCCAGTTCCTATTCAACCGCCAAAAGAATTCAATTGTGAGAAATCAAGAAATTTGGTGGCTGCACCAAATCCTGATGAAAATACATACAACAATCCTACTGTCATTCACAGCCGATCCCATTCTTTTGTGGGGCCCACATCATATGTTAGTCATTCCTCTAGCCTTACCAAAGTCAGCTTACTTGAGAAGCAGGGTGCACTGGAACTGGCGGGGTTTTGTAGAGAAACGCATGAAGAATTTAAGGAGAAGTCCGATAAACAATTTAATAACATCAATGTGAAACATCAAAGTGTTGGACTTGAAGATTTTGAAGTCCTAAAAGTTGTTGGGCAAGGTGCATTTGGGAAGGTGTACCAGGTGAGGAGGGCAGGGACATCTGATATTTATGCAATGAAGGTAATGCGGAAGGACAAGATCATGCAGAGAAATCACTCTGAATATGTGATATCTGAAAGGGATATATTAACGAAAGTTTATCACCCTTTTATTGTGCGACTTAGACACTCATTCCAGGTAACAACAGTACATTGGCTATATTATATATCCATTCAAATATTTATATACAAGTGTAGGATAAAACAACAGCACCATCAGATTTGCAGAATTATAACCTTTTTTCAAGTCTTGTAGACAAAGTATAGGTTGTACATTGTGCTTGATTTCGTGAATGGCGGTCACCTTTTCTTTCAGCTTTGTCGCCAAGGCTTATTCAGGTGTGTTAGCATAGCAACTTTGTGAACTAATCTCGAAAATATAGGATATAGCCTTCCTGCATATTTAACTTCTTGCCATCCTACATGTTTCACTTCTTTCAGGGAGGACTTGGCCCGCTTTTATGCTGCAGAGATTGTTTCAGCTGTCTCTCATCTTCATGCAAATGGCATAACGCACAGGGATCTTAAACCTGAAAATATCCTTCTGGACGCACGTGGCCATGTATGATCACATAAACCTCTGTTTGCATTAATAGGCTCGCTTGTGCAGTATTGCTTTTTGCTTCAAAAGTATTTAAATCTGAACATATTATTCTAATGCTTCGTACCAGGTAGTTTTGACGGATTTTGGCCTAGCTAGGCAATTCTGTGACGGTGAGAATGCGAGGTCAAATTCTATGTGTGGAACTTTAGAATACATGGCCCCTGAAATTCTTCTGGGGAAAGGACATGATAAGGCAGCTGATTGGTGGAGCGTTGGAATTCTAATTTTTGAAATGCTAACTGGGAAGGTTAGTTCCTCTTAATTGTGTTTATTTATATCGTTTACCTTCTTAAGTTGGTGATTTTGTAGTTTTGTTCACTTTTGTATTTGGCATATGCTGGTAGGTATATAGGAGGTGATTGCATTATGTTACCTGATTCGTTTGTCTCATTGTGGTTTAGTTATGAAAGCTATTCTTGCTTTAATTTTGTAATCCCGCTTCCTTAAACTTCACTCCCTTGTTTTCTCTAATTACAGCCTCCCTTTACCAGTGGAAATAGACAGAAGATCCAGCAAAAGATAATAAAGGACAAGGTCAAGCTTCCGGCATTTTTGTCTAGTGAGGCCCATTCACTGTTAAAAGGGGTAATTCACCGTCATTACACTTTAGGTTATAATTTTGACATACGCGCATAGAAACACTCAAGTTTGTTAAATCAAAAGATAAAACTGAATTTATCATTAACGAGTGGCATGAAATGGAATCTAGCGAGAAAATGCCAATAGAAGAATGATGAAGTTTCTTCTTCAGTTGTTGCAGAAAGAAGCCAGCAAACGCCTTGGCAATGAACCACGTGGTAGCGACGTGATTAAGAGTCACAAGTGGTTTAAGTTAATTAATTGGAAGAGACTAGAAGCTCGTGAAATTAGGCCCAGCTTTGTCCCAGAAGTTTCCGGGAATCACTGTGTTGCTAACTTTGAGGATCGGTGGACTAATATGCCTTTGCTGGATTCTCCTGTTGTCACTCCCAAATTCAATGATAACCCCTTCAGTGGGTTTGATTGGGTGATCTAGCTCATTTTATGAACAAAAATGTCTCAGTTATTGTGAATGTCCAACAGATTTTGAGATATTTGATGTTTACAACCTACTTGCCCTGTGGTGGGTATTGATTCTTTCTGTATGATGAGCTAGTATTTTGGATCTGTTTTTCCGTCAGCTTTTAGAAGCTTTTCTTTCCTTCTCTTGGGTGGGGGAAGGGGTGTTCTTGGATGATCAGATTCTATGTTCACCAATTGTAGGTAACAAGGAAGCAATTAAAATTTGAGTACATAGATTTAAATAGAAAAGCTTACGGTGAAAGCTTTCAAAAACAAACATTTATTATATTTGTTCTGATGGGAAGAACATTATACAACACACAACATAGAAGTACTTTCTGTAGAAGTTACAGGAACAAGCATGACTTATTTGGTTCTTCCTGGATAAGCTATAGTATATTAGGAAGATCTTTATTTGATGCACATAACTCGGAAGTGCCAAGATATTCCTGCAACAAGTACTGTTTTTCTTGGTTCTTCCTCTTATTCTATTGACGATAGTTCTCAGGACTAGAGCCATATGCAAAGGAATCAGACACTTATGGTGTCAAAGGGAGGTTTATCAACACTATTGCTTCTTGTTTCCCCCTTCTCATCTGCTTTCTCATGTACATAATTTACAGAATGATTTCTCTCGAGCTCCTTGTCTTCTGAGATATCTTCCAGCGATCGACCTTTTGTTTCTGGAACCAAGAGGGTGCAAAAGAATCCAGTCATGTTGACAATTGAAAGTGCCATAATTGCCCTTCGAGTCTTTCTTGTTGAGTTATCACTTGTGTAGCTTTGCACCACAAAGGCACCAATGATGGCACCTGCTTTTCCTGCAGCTGCTGATATTCCATGGCAGGTTGAACGGAACCGAGCTGGGAATAGCTCTGCAGGCACTATAAATGTTGTGCTATTGGGGCCAAAGTTAGCAAAGAAGAGGGTGAGTCCGAAAAGTATGGCAAACATCTTGGGATTGCCATTACAATATTCGAGTTTGTACCCTTGTTGACAATCATCATTTCCCCCCTTGTATTTTTCGTAATTATATCCAAGGATCATCATGAACATAGACATCAGAAAGAAGCCACCGAGCTGGATTATATACCTTCCAATTTTGTCAATAAAAAACACTGTGAACCAGTATCCAGGAACTGTGGCAAACAAGGCCACCACAAACATAGCTCTGGAGAGTTGAAACACCTCTTCTATGGCACTCATGGTCGATGCCTTGCGTACAAGCCCACTAGTTGATAATAAATCTTTCTGTGCGAGTTGAAGACTGTAGAATGCAATATCCAGCAAGAACCATGTGCTAGTAGTCCCAAGAAGATGAAGCCCATGTCTCTCAAGAAACTTTGAGGACAGGAATCCATAAGAGGGAATTGGGTTTACAACAGACCTGAAACTTGAATCTTCGACAGGTATTTCCTTTTGAAGAACTTTAGCCATATCCAAAGCAGCCTTCTTGATATCACCTTCCACCAGTGCAGTATACCTAGCGGTTTCTGGCATTTTGATTCTCCAGTAAAAGGTTAGGGCTGCTGGGATCGCCCCGAACATGAGCACAATTCGCCAAACAAAATCGCCCTCCGGTTGGGTAGACATTACAGGATCAATTGCAAAATTGACAGCAGGGTAGGCTGCTAAGAACAATTTGGAGACAACCATGGCTACAACTCCAGCAACCAATATTCCCACCCCTTGCATTGCAAAAACAGCAGCAACAAACCCCCCACGGTTTTTCTGATTGGCATATTCCGACATTATAACGGCTGATAAAGGGTAGTCTCCTCCAATGCCAAATCCCAGCCAAAACCTAAAGAAGCAAAGGGTAGTGATCACACTTTTCGCCGTGGAGCCAAAGGAAAGCCCTGAGCCCAAGGCACATCCGACCATAGTCACAAGAGTGACCCCATACATTTTTTTTCGGCCAAGCTTGTCGCCTGACCAGCCAAAGAAGAGTTGCCCTACCAGGGTGCCGCACAAGGCAGCCCCAGTTATGGCGTTGTTTACTTGCTGAGGAAGTTTTCCTGGGTTATGAGTCGAGGGGTCGAAGTAATAGAGGCGACCTATGAGTTTGGTCACAGCAGTGATGCAAAAGAGATCGTATGCATCAGTGAAGAATCCCATTCCAGCTATCACGATTGCCATGAAGTGGTAGTTTTGAGTCTTAGCATTGTCAAGAGCTGACAACACACCTTGGCCTGTGTCCATTGTGTGATCGCAAGTGTGTGTGAAAAGGCGGGAATGTGCTGGTTTTATAGGAGGAGGACTTGAGACATTGTAAACATTGTTTCTTAGGAAAAGCAGAAAGAGATATAGTGACATAGAAGCTCACGGTTTTATCAATGATAATTCGACTGTTCCTAAGAGAGGTCTTCGATAGATGGTCGAACAATTATCGTTTAGAAGTTTAAAAATTGCAGTACATGAAGACATATTATTTGAAGTGAATTTTGTCGAGGATACTGACTACACGGCTGATCTATATCTGTTGGAAAAGGACAGGAATCCTAGATATCTCCAATTTTTGAGGACAAGCATCAAAGACAATTGAGAGAGTGGATTACATTGCGCGCTAATATCCTAAAAAATGTTCTTGTTGGTTACTGCCTAATTTAGTGGAAGTCTTGAACGTGACAAATTAACTTGGCGCAATTCATGCATGCCATGGCCAGAGCTTTGAGTAATATTTTTCTTCTCATGACAGACAATTGTACGCACGATGTAGGTAGGAAGAGGAATATATATATATATATAGAGATATATATATGTATGTATATGCATACATGTATGTTTTTATGTGAGCATGTGTTTATAATTCTGGATATACTCTCCTGCTCATAGTTCCTGTCACCAACTTGCCTTGGTCATACTTTGCTGTTCACGAGAATTTTAGTTCCTATCGTGTTCCATCCCATCTGATTCAATCATTTATTTTCCTCATCATCAATACATCTAGATGAAAGTCTTGATCTTATAAAATCCTGTTATGTTTAAATATCTTATATATGAAATACTCCTCCAATTCTAAATGTAAGAATTATTTTTATAGTTTAATTTACACTACAAAATGAATCTTATACTTAGAATTAGAGAGAGCATTAAAATTACAAAACCATCTAAATAACTATATATTAATTTGTCAATATGCCCTTTTCACGTTCACCATTTAAAAGAGAAAGCAGTTCCATATATTAGACTTCTCTCTAAGAACTCAAATCTAATTAATTAGCATTTCCAGTCATATATAATGGAACTGACACAAACGGAAAGTTGCAGTTGGCCAGGCAAAGCTCATAAGTTCCTTTGCCTGCTGAATTACATTGACTTCCAATATACAACTCAGTTACATGCAAATGTTAATTCCTATAAACTTTCTTGACATACCATAGTAATGTCTAGCATCGTTAATGGGGTCAGTGACGAGACTTGGGTTATTGAATCATTTATATGGCAGCGGTTTTCATCTGAAGCTCTGCCCCTCGGCCCCAACAAGCTTACCTACTTGTCTTCCATCTTTGAAAAAATAGCGCACTCTTACATTTAGCCCACACACGGCAAACCGTTATGCCAAGGGAAAAAAAATGCTTTGTGAACTTAGTTGAAGCTGATAGCAATACTTTTGAGAGATTTTAAAATATTTAACGAGACCGACACTTGAAAGGGTACTCCTTAAGTTTGATGCTTGGCAATAGTTATTTAACGTGTTCATTTTATGATTTCCAAATTCTATCAATAGAGAAGCAGTTAAGATACACCAGACCAAGAGTAGTTCATTTTAGGTTTAGGACGTATTTGATTTGATTTGCTTGGGACGGCGTGAGCAAGAGGGGAAAGGGACGTGTATTTGGGGAGGAAGGGGCGCTTTAAAGATTTTGCATGGTTGGTTCTTTTCATCAGGATCTTTCTACTAAACAGGTTTTTTTCCCCATCAATTACAATTCATTTTCTTTATGTCACAAATACAAACGATATCTCTCTTCTTTTTTTTTTCCGCAGTGACTATTCCTTTCATATCTTGAGACTCTTCAGAAAAGCTTTTTCAGTGACTAATTTGTAATCAAAGTACATTCCTTCAATCGATCAGACTATGCATGTCATTTTTTTTTTTTTGCTAAAACATAAATATCTTTCTATTTCAACTTTGGTTCGTCACGTTATGAGAGACTAGTCCTTTCTGTTAAACCTAATTCCTATTGGTTTGCATGTCAAATTATTTAACCCTCAAGCTTCACACTGCACTTTGATCCCTCTAAAGCCCAAAGCCTTGTCGTCTCAATTTTGGGCGAAAATTCTCAACCATGTCAAATCAACTCAGATAATCAAACCCTCCTCAGCATCCTGCAAAGCTTCTTCAATCAACAAAGCTGCTTCCTTGTCCCAAAAGAGAAAAACGACAACCCGGAGCAACACCCATAAAATCATCCCTCCACGCCTCCACGTATCAAATAGAAGACGAGGCTCATGGAAGACATCTTCCGACTTTATCACTCGGTGATTGGAACAGATCAAATTTATTATGGACACGCTCAGGCAGGAGGGGCACGAAAATAAGGAAAGGCAACTACAGATTAAAGGGCAAATTCATGTATGGCCATGCCTTCAAAAGCCCAACGAAGCTACATGTTTTCGGGTTGACTTCAACAAAATCAGCAGACTAGACCGAAGAATAACCCAGAGCAGACATTGCCCCCTCCCTCTAGGAATACCATCTGAGGAAGCTGAGGAAGTTGATTTTCCAGCGACTAGGTCGGGTTCGCGACCAAAGAGGTGATACGACAAACTTCGAAAAGGCAAAAGCAGAATCGACATCCTCAACAGCCGGATCACAAACGGGGGCGAATCTAACATAGCTACGACACCAATTGCTCTGACCACGATGCCGGAACCGACCTCGGGTAATAACGGTCAGACATTTGCCTTTCCGCTTAAAATTTAGAAATCATGAATTTTTATATATTTAATAGTGGTCTGATTGTCCGTCAATCCGTCACATAGCAGAGATCCTACCTGCTTAACAATCTGCTATTAAGGGCCAAACAAGTGGAAACGTAAGGAACAAAACATTTTTTTTGGGGAAAAAACAAGTTCATTGTATGGAAGACGGCCCGCACAAAAACAGACTTAGTTTAGTACAAGACGCATAATAAATAAAATCAAATTTCTCCAACAACAAAAAACAAAAGCATCCAGGCTGACAAAACTACTGCGGTCCAGACTCCTCCTGTGTCTTGTAACAGACTACCTATGCAGTTGCATGCTCCAGGAAAGCTCTCCCGGGTTCACGGTTAGCCAGTGGTCCATGGCATCCAAGAAGCTGCAAAATGCACAAGGAAGTGGTTAGTCACATGATCCGTTTTACCTGAGCTACACTTAAGGGGAAAATCTGACTAAATGCAAAAATATGCTCCCACACATTCCCAACTACTTGAACTCTGTCATCTAACTACTTTTTCCCCGTCATTAATCAAAGTTAACAAAAATTACGTCGTGATCTTAATGCCATTAAGTTTGAACAAAAGTTGCGAGGATGTGAATATTTGGCTTCACATTCATTACCTTTGCATTTACACCATCTGGCAGAATTCTGTTCTCTGACTTGTACCTCACATAGTCTGTTCGGTTAAACTTCGTGAAACCCCTGAGAAAGCAGTTAAAACAGTTGAATTACCGTCAAATCAAACACAATAGCTTAATACACTAGTATCTTGGAAGGATAAAAGGAATTAATCATATCATAATTCTTGAAAAAGCACATTCATTCAGGGCAAATTCTCAACCGAAAAAAAAAAAATACCATTTCCTGCTAACTATGATCTTTTGCCGACCAGGGAACTTGAACTTAGCACGACGGAGAGCTTCCTGGGCATGATGGCTGTTGCTGTCCTTGCAACGGACAGAAAGAAGCACCTGACCGATGGCAACTCTAGCACATGTACCTTGTGGCTTTCCAAATGCACCTCTCATCCCTGTCTGAAGCCTATCAGCTCCAGCACATGAAAGCATTTTGTTGATCCTAAGAACATGGAATGGGTGAACCCTAACTCTCAAATGGAACGCATCCTTTCCAGCAAATTTGGCCATGTATTTGTTGCAAGCAATCCTAGCAGCTTCCAACGCTTCACTTGAAACATTTTCCTTCTCCCAGCTAACCAGATGGACGCAGAAAGGAAACTCATCAACCCCTTTCCTCTTCATTCCAACATCATAAATTCTGATCTTGGGATCAGGAACACCACGGCAAAAGCGTGACTTAGGGTAAGGTTTGTTTTTTATTTGACGATAACACCTTGCAGGTCCTACATAATTTTCCATTGCCATCACAACATAAATAAAGAATTCAAAAGCAAAATCAATTTCATTCCACAATCATCCCCACTGATAACAACGAATTGCAGCAACAAAACGAAATGCCGCAAAAAACCATAAAAAAATAGTTGCCCCCAAGGTCTTGGCGATAAACAGAAAAGTACATTGAGAAATCCCTGTGCTATATCTCGAATTAAACCAATCAGATCATCGTATGATTATCATGTTTCAAACAGTTAGGTCTAGCACAAAAGGAATTTATCATCCCATTCTTCGATAGTTAGATTTGATCAAAATCAATAACCCCATTTGATGTTTCAAGTTTTCCTCATTCCAGCTAGGCGGGCTGGCTAAAGGAGCTTCAAGTTTTCCTCATTATCAGCCCATTCTTACTACAAAAATCGTGCTTTTTTTTATATTGACTTGGGACAGGTAGATATGGTGAAATTTTGCTGAAAACTATCTCAAGCATGCTTTCATCAAGAAAAATGCCAGATGACACCTCTGGGTATCCCTGAAAAAAGTTAATATTCCCAGATCCAAATGAAAATTTTCAATCGAAGCAAGAAATATCAATTACTTCAAAAGCTTACAGGACCATAGACCACGTATTCATCTATAATATTTCTACCAAAACCACTATAACAATCAAACAATAAGAGGAAACAATTCAGACAAGTTCACATAGCATATGAGGACACCGAAATCAAGAACGATAGGAACATGAACGTTCAGAAGGAAGGCGGGCGCTTACTCCTCCCCATGGCGGCAAACGCGTTGATTCGAGATTTCGAGGGAACGGGCAATAAACCCTAGAAATGTATTTATATACCCGCTGCTCTTTTTTTTTTTTAAATCTTTTCCTGGTTGAGGGCCATTGAAACATGGGATTTTTCATGGATGGGCTAGGCTAGGGCTAGGCCCAGACTCTGAATGGATAAGCTGCTACTTTTGTCAGTATATGAATCGTCCTCCTCGTTCCGTTCCGTTTTGACCCGTCCCGAGCTCCACGTGGCAGTTGCTGACGCTTCACCGCCCCCCTTTGCCGGCAGGAACATGCAAGATTTTTTTTCCTTAAATGCCCCTAGCACTGAATTGCGGGAAAGATCATGTGCTGTTTTGTTTGTGTTCCTGTGTACTGTACATTTGTGCTTTTGGAGTTTAAAAACAAATTTACAATCCTTGTTTATAATTTTAACTCATAAGGGGCTACTGGAACGATTTGGGAGCGAAAATGAAACAACAATAATGGAAATATCAAATATCTGTGTCTTGTTTGACCAATAATGTCGTCTTTCAAACAACATGCAATATGTGAAGTTCACGTATCCACAGGTTGAAATAAGAATGTATTTAACTAATTTCACTGTTTTCAGTTGAAATTCATGAACATACACTACACAACATCACTTATTTCTCAAAATTCATGCAACGTATAAGACCAATGTTTATAAATATATTACATATCTAGTAATTCTGCACAGAAATTAAATATTTTATGAACAATAATATTACAAAAAGCTCTCTGTCTTATATGTATCCTATGAAGTGCAAAAAGGCGGGCTAATGACTTTGATAGTCAAAATAACATATTGTTAACGACTTATAAACAATGTTTTTTTAAAATAAATTTTGTGTTATATATTAATATTTGCCCTTCATGATTTTCATAAGACACTTCAGCTGCATATTTTTGATACTATGTCTTTCCCCCTAAATATTCAAATTTTTTAAAGTCAGTCACGTTTTTATTATCTTTTAGCTCATATTATATATATATATATTCTTTAAATATTATCCTTTTCTACATCACGTCACAGTTTGAGTCTTAGATTATCTCTGTCCTATTTCATTTTCTCTAATTAATATAAAGGAGTCATAATTTTTTTTTAAGTTGTCAAGATGTTGATTATTACTCTTTCGGTTTTAAATATAAAACTTTTTTTTATAGTATAATTTATACTATAAAAAGAAGTCTTATATTTAAAATTGGAGGAGTATATTATTATCCTGTAAAAAAATGCAGACGTAATAAAGGATGAATAGTAATCAATACTGATACAGTACTACTACCTCAGGTCCTAATTATAAGACACAGTTGACTAATTTGGGGAGATTAAAAAACTTAGTTAAGTTAGTTATTTGTAATAAATAGGTGTTGTTTTTTCTAAAATATCCTTGCTAGTCAAGTTTGTTATCTATAACTACTATTATTAGAAGGATTATCATGAAAAAAAGTGGATAAATATGAGAGACAAAATAGATTGAGGTCTTATATTTAGGACCAAAATAAAAGTTACATAGGGTCTTATAACAAGAACCGGAGGTAGTAACTCCTAGGAAGTAAAAGGTTATCCAAGATATTGGTTCTTTTGTGATTTTTTTTAGAATTAATGGCTTTAAGTATAATTAATGATTATATGACGCCCGAAATGTTATTTTTCCCAGGATTTTACGGAGTGCTAGCGTCCTCGGAGGCATTACAGTTGGTCACTCCCTCCACGGTTCTACTGCCTGCGCGCCACTTCCTTTGCTGGGGAGAACCATAAGCTGGAAGCGGGGTTTTCGTGCAATTCCTGCTAAGACACTATGAAAATCTATCACGTCCCTTGCCTCGAAGACAATTATTCGTACCTGTAAGCCCGATTCAACGCGCCGTCCAGTTTCTCATCAGTTCCTCGAATCCTGACCAATATATACACCGCTTTCGAGTTCCTGTTTTTCTAGGTTGTTAAATATATCTTTTATTTAGTTTTTCCCTGTCAATATTTGAACTGGGTTTTGCAGGATTGTTGACGAGGGTACCAAAGAAGGTGCAGTGGTGGATCCTGTAGAACCGGGGAAGGTTCTGGAAGTTGCTAACTCCCATGGAGTCGATGTCAAGCTTGTCCTCACCACGCATCATCATTGGTAATGTAACTATTTCCCCCCGTTTTAAGAACAAACATACCTTCGAGTGAGCATATATCCCGCTTATTCTGTACTGGATCGTCGATATTTTGTCGCGGATGTGTAAGAGTTTTAAATTTCAGTGGATATAATTTGATTAGGCAGTTTAGTTGGGTCCGGCGACTGTCTACTGCAGGAACTAATTATCAGTTTGCAGTGCTCTGAGTCGAATCCTCAATTAATTTAAGAAATTAAGTACCTGGGAACAAATTTGGTTCGATTGGCTCTGGCCAAAATTGGTGAAATGACAACTCTTCAGATGTTCATTTATTATGTTAGGTTTGATCTCTTTTATGGATTTTAGTCGTTAAGCTCAAGCTGTTGCATACATTAGCTTCTACTCTATTAGTTATCTTCTCAGTTGTTCTGCCACGTGTAGCATTTTGAGTCTTGATATATGCATTTTCTTGTAATTATACTTGGGTTAATGAAAAGAGATGCAGAATCTTAACGGACGCAAGTTCTCGTTTTGGCGTTATTATTTATCAGGGATCATGCGGGTGGGAATGATAAGATAAAGCAGCTGGTTCCTGGAATCAAGGTTTATGGTGGTTCAGTTGATAACGTGAAGGGATGCACTGATAAAGTTGACAATGGTGATAAGGTCTCCCTTGGGGCTGATATTAGTATATTGTCCCTTCACACTCCTTGGTATGGTTGCTGGCCTTGTTAATTGCAGATTGCTGTTGGACACACACAGATACACGAAAGACCCAACAGTGGAGGGTTTGTGATGTGATTTTTACTGTGCTCTTCTGGACAAGGACTGCACCTCTATTGTCTTCCCTTAATTCCAATTGAAATGACTACGGTCTAACTTCCATTTGTATAACATAATAGTGTGGTGCTGGAAAAATCATCTTGTTAACTGCTTAGCATAATATTTGAACGCAGAAAATCGTAATCATGGAGAATATCATGTCAGTCATTGATGAAGGGAGCTGTGCCCTTCGTAAAGTATATATGTTTTTTGAGTGTGTGGCTGAAGAACAGTGTGATGCTTGCTGCTAATTGTTTTTTAGTATTGTCAAGTTCTCTCTTTCTGTGCTGGTGGTTCTCACTTTTTATTCCAGAATTTATTCTGGCAAGACTGTCTGATGCTGAGTTTTATACGACTCCAACGTGCCCCTAGAAATGCATTATCTGGCTTCGCTGGCCATATCAACAATTCAAATACCATTCTTTTGTGTTATTGATGTATTTATGAATATTTAAATAGCCAGCCCAACTTCTGCGCTAATGCATGAGATTTTTTTTCTTAAAAAAAAAAAAAAATGAACATTCACTTCAATGAAGAGTAAAGTGGCAGTACTTCTTGTCCTGCTTACATATACAATGATAGATTATTTGACGACCAAAAATTAGTCATAAATCACGTTTGATGTTGTTGAATCTCGCTTCACCATTCCTTGAAACACATTTCTGTTTCTTCTATTAACATCAGCCATTTTCTGACCTTCTCAGCCACACCAAAGGCCACATAAGTTATTATGTTACTGGCAGAGAGGATGAGCACCCGGCCGTTTTTACAGGGGATACGCTGGTAAGCTGAGTCGTCAATCTCATCTTGCTATTAAATGAGCTTATGTGAAATCTATACCAACAATCAAGAGCTTAGAGTCAGAGTATGCTACTAGGTTTTTATATCTTTGTCCATGTAATGCATGGATTATGAAGAATTTATTTCGAAGTCTCTAGATTTATTTTGTTATTTTTTTGTTTACAGTTCATTGCTGGCTGTGGGAAATTTTTTGAGGGAACTGCAGAGCAGATGTACCAGTCACTCTGTGTGACACTGGGCTCACTGCCAAAGCCAACCCGAGTTTACTGTGGCCATGAGGTGCGGATCTTCCCTTTAAACTTAAAATATTCTTTGAAACATATGCCATTATTCTCTCATAATTTAAAATAAAGTGTGAAGTTGATTTTCTCTTTAATCTAATGAGATTAAAGGAATGATTTATTTTGATAGGAGCGAATTTGTTGAGGAAAAAAAAATCTCTTTCTGGATCTAACAATTCAGAGAATGATGCAAAAATATATGGAGTTTCTGGTCTTAGGTTAAATTGATAACGCAGCTTAGTTTAGGGGTCAAAAACAATTTAAATGGAAGGAATGGGTGGTCATAGGTTGTTTTGCTGGAGTTTATGCTGCTGCAATTCACGATGCACCCGAAACAACTTATTTAGAGTATCTTTAGCGATTTTATAATGTTCATTGACATGAGAGTTTAAATTTGCTTTTACTTCAGTACACAGTGAAGAACTTGCAGTTTGCTTTGACGGTTGAACCAGACAATTTGAGGACGCAACAAAAATTAACATGGGCTCAGAATCAACGGCAAGCCGGGCAACCGACTATTCCCTCAACCATTGAGGAGGAGATGGAAACCAATCCGTTCATGAGGGTCGATCTACCTGAGCTTCAGGTTTGTCACACTACCATCTTAATTCCCATCACCTTTGAGAAGAAGAAGAAATATTCTATTGTCGGATATAAGAAATGGAATGGATGTCTTTCCTATTTATCACAGTTCTGCATTATAATCCATGCATACGCTTGGATACCTACTACTTATGAGTCTTTCATTCCTTTGGTCTTCCTAAATCCTAGTATTTTGACATCTAAAGGCAGAAATGATATTTCAAATGACAACCATTTCAGGAGAAGGTGGGGAGCAAGTCTCCCGTTGAAGCTTTAAAAGAGATAAGGAAGCGGAAGGACAACTGGAAGGGCTAATGGATTATAGAACTGCACGCCGATGCTTGTATTTTTCCTTCTCTCTTCCGTCCGTATGTATGAACGAACAATGAAATGCAGATCATGTTGCTATTTTGCGTTGCCTGAACCAGCCTTCTCATCTGCTTCTCATCACATCGTTGGTGTAGATTTTAATTAGCTCTTTGGTCTGTGTATATTATGTTGGTTTGTCCAAACAAGTAAGATGTTCTGTTTCACTCATGTCATTGGCTTCTGAACTCGCGATCAACACTTATCTCCTCTAGATTCTCGTGAGATTGGGAGAGCGAAGAAAATAATGGCTGCTTCTTTTTTTGTTGTGGTTCTCTTATTCTGTTGTGTCTTTGCTTTCTGAAATGAGGGCTGAGAGCAAATGTCGACGTTAATGGCAAAATGCTTGTCGCAGTCACCGGGGCGGTGCCTACAAAGTCGACAAACGAGCAATCAATTAATTTTATAAGTCGAAAGCATAGTTTTTACTAAACTTATAAGGTCCTTGATATTTTAGGCTTATTGTTCAATAGTTGGCAACTCGTTAATCATCATTGTCAATGAGTTGTCATATTTATGTTTTGGATCAGTTGGCTGAAAAAAAAGGCATCAGTTGGTTTTGAGATATACATTTAATATCTGATGATGTGCTACTCGAACTTCGTTAGGTTATTTAATTCGATGATGGCTTGATGAGTTGTTTTTCTTTTTTCCCAAAAAATAAAAGAAATGGCCAATTTTTTTTATTTTCTGATTATCAAGAATTGGTTAGGAAAAATCGTTACTAAAAACCAAGGAATTTGAAAAATTACAGATGAGGATTTGTTCGTAAAAATTGTCTTCAAAACTAATATTATTATTATTAAAACCTATAATAATATTGTAATCGGTCTTTATTTGTAATTTTTCATATTTTAAACTCTTTATTTGTAATGGTTATTAATATAATTAAAATTATTCTTTCAAACCTAAGAAGTATCTTTCCGCAAGTTGAGTGACAAATATGCCAACAAGAGTTGGTTAATATTACGCACACTTTCTATCGTCTTTATTTTATTGTAATTTAGTTTATTCTTTTGAAGTTATTTTTATTTTCATTTGATTTATTCTTGTGAAGTAATTTTTCTTTCATTTATTTACAAATTGTAATGGGGGTATATATTCTTTCATTTACAACTTCCACATCAAGGTGTTCAACATTCGCACTTCTATTATTCAACACTTAAACATTTGCGGTTCTATTTCTCTTCCGATTCTAAATATAAAACTCATTTTTATAATGTAAATTAGACTATAAAATAAGTGACAGGAGGAATATTATTTAACGCTAAAACACAACAACAATTTATCTGCTCATTGCAATTATATAAAGCTCATATCTTAATGTAAATTTACAGCTTTCATCATAAGCGACATTTATAAGTGACAGATTTATTATTTAACACTGATACAATAAAAATGGAAGACTTTTTTCCATTTCAAATATTTAACACTCAGAAAGAAATTTACAAGCTATTGACGCTTTATCACAGGCAAAGTTTACGGTTGAGTGGTGACAGTTCAATTACTTAATGCTAAGACCAATAAAATTAGCAACTTTCACTTCAATCATGTAACAAGTACTTTAAAAAATTTGCATAAGGATAATTTGGTAATTATATGATATTTACTTTTTGTTTAAAAAAAAAGACCATGAATTTTTATCGTAATAATTTTACATGTTCACGGTGATTGGAAAAGAAAAGAAAAGAAAAGAAAAAGAGAAGGCAGCAGGTCATGGCTTTCCATCCGTTGAAATGGCGAACTGGGGAAAAGAGCCTGATAATGCCTCTTTAATAAACGCGTTTCTTTATCGTCCACCACGCGACAGACTTTTAATTATTTCCCCTCTTATTCTCTCACGTCCCAAACCGGCACCCTCCAAAATACTAATAATTAAACAAATAAAGCGGAGGTTTCAGGCTGACGCCTTCCCGGCCCTTTGACTTTTCTCCCCTTCCTGCTTCTCCTCCCTCCCCCGGCGCTGCTCCAGCTTAAATTCTCTTCCCCCGGCACAACCCTGTTCACATTTTCCCAAACTCTGCTTTGTTTTTCTCTTGCTTCATTCGTCAGGTAATAGTTCTCTGTTATTTCACTGCTTCCTTCCCTCGGTTATCTTTGGATTTTTCTTCTTTTTCAGCTTTAACGTAGTTTTCACGCTCTCCCTCCATAAATTCTGTTATCCTATCAGGCCATATTATCGGCTTAAAAAAACTATTTCACTTTTCTATACCAGTGATCTCCGGGAGCAGAAACTCCTCAAATAGAATATAAGGCTACAAATAGCTGGAAAAGAAATAAGGATCAAGCAGGAGGCTAACTGAGTATTGGTAGTTTAATCTTGCGACGAAGATGGAAACATCGGGTGCTAATTCAGAACAATACGCCATGTCTTCCTCCTCCTCATCTTCCACTGTTGGTGTAAATAATAGTAACAGTAATAGCACTGAAACCTGGTACGGGATGAGGTTAGCCCCTGTCAGCCCCTTCCGTTCTCCAGTTTCCTTGCTATTAAATTACGCGGGCATTCTCCACTCAAGTTCGTCAGCTCGCGATTCAGAGGCCACGACAGTCAACAGCGGAGTTACCCCGTTGGAAATACGCTCTCAGCTTCCTGAGTCTGGCACCGCGTGCAGTAGCAGTGCTGGTGAAGTTTCGATACGGATAATTGGGGCTGCAGAACAAGAACAGAGTGTTGCGTTAGGTTCTTTTTCTACTACCTCTCTAAATCAGCTTGGACAAGTCGATCACGATGATTTGACGAGAAATAGAGGAGGAATGCCCGCACTGGATGAGGGTGCGGAGGATCGCAGCGGAAGAGCCCCCTTAGTGTCTTCAACGACACCGGCCACTAGTGGACAGGTGGATGAAAATGTCGGAAACGCCGCGGAAAGCAACCATGGGGATTCATCCTCTTACCAGAGGTATGATATTCAGCAGGCTGCTAAGTGGATTGAGCAGATTCTTCCTTTCTCACTGTTGCTATTGGTTGTTTTCATTCGTCAGCACTTGCAAGGTACTACTCCTGTGTATCTGTTCTGTGTTTTTTATGTTCATTTTGGCTTCATGCTCCTTGAACGCTGCAACGGAACCATGAGAAATATGCTTCTCCCTTGTTTCTTTTTACTGATCATGTGCACTGTCCCATTGTAGAGATTATGACTAATGGATAGGATATGCTAGACTTGATGATATGGTTGGACCATATTTATATATAATTTGTGTGGTATGCTTTCCTCTGTGGTGTCCTTAATGATTTCGCATTCAAATAGCTTGGCCGTGCTAGAAGCCTTATCTAAATTGTTCTCAGGAATTGTGCTTGGTCGAATGATGGTAGGAAAGAGAGTTTGTATGCCCTTGCGAGTGACGGAAACTATGAAGTTTTTATAAATTAATATCGGCAGAGCCCATTGTATTTAGGTTTAAACTGCGTGGTTAAAGGGAAAAAAGGAATGAGTGGGGGTAGAAAAGACAAAAGATGGTTAGGAGAGAAGGTTTTTGAGGATCATCTAGACTGTACCTGTCTTTTATTTACTGTTCATCCTAATTGAAGGCATCACTGTGACATTGCCAATTTGTAATTTTGATTCTTTCCATATGATATGTTGATATTTAATTCTGGGAACTTGCAGGCTTTTTTGTCACGATTTGGATTTCAGCTGTGATGTTCAAATCAAATGAAATTGTTAAGAGGCAGACAGCGCTGAAGGTGCTTTGCCCAGATTTTCCAAGTCTATTGAACTTTTCCCCCTCCAATTAGTTACATGTGACTCCCCTTTCCCCTCTACAGAGAAAAAGAGGTTCAATACAATTTCTATTTTGCAGGGAGACAGGAGAGTCTCAATTCTTGTTGGCATCTCTGTCGCCTTCATGCTTCATGTGATGTGCATTTACTGGTGGTATCAAAGTGATGATCTTTTATACCCGCTGATCATGGTTCCTCCAAAATCAGCACCACCTTTCTGGCATGCTATATTCATCATCTTGGTTAATGGTATGTGTTTATTTAGTACCAAAATCCAGCATTTTACCCAAATAGAAAATTAGTATGTTTTTTTTTTAATTGCTATGCTATAGTTATAGTAGGTATCATTATATGTAGTTGGCATGAAATGTATATCCATAACATATGATTAAGTTAGAAATTCAAGCTTCTCTTCAAGTATTTTGGCCTCGACTGCTCATCCTTGAACTGACCAAGACCATTTCACCTGAAGAGAACCCAAACCTGTGGGTACTTCAATATGCACGCACATGTTTGATATATTTTCAGCATCATATTTCAGTTATGTCCGTTCTGTGAACTTTTATTTTCAGCCACTTGCTTGCTGCAGTGTTTGCTATATTTTTTGGCTATATAGTCATGAGCAATATCGTTTTGAATCTCTTAAGTTATATCTCCATGCTTTAGTTTTGTGTTAGTTGACTGTTTCAATGTGCCTTGACATATTTATAGTTTTGTAACCAGAAATTTTTCAATTTTGTTAGTCACCATATTTAATGACTTTCAGATACACTAGTGCGGCAAGTAGCAATGGCTTTCAAGTGTTTGCTGCTTATATATTACAAAAATGGAAGAGGTCACAACTTCCGCCGCCAGGTGAGCAGTAGCCTCTTTACTATTTCCAACAAGCATGTATTTTTTAACTATATTTTGCCTCTGCAACTAACTGAAAGCTGCTAAATTATTTCAAGGGCCAAATGTTAACTCTGGTCGAATATTCATTGCTGTTGTATCGTGCCTTGTTGCCTACATCAGTTTGGTACCGTTTTTTCTTAAACAAGGATTATGGGAGTCTTTTTTCATCACTGACAACAGGATTGTATTTAACTTTCAAGCTAACATCTGCTATTGAAGGTACATTTTCATTCTCAGATCAGGCTTCGTAGTGCCATATGTGTAGATATTTCAGTATGGTGCTAACTTAATTCCATTCTCTCTATCTTCCTATGTGCTTATTAGGTTCAATGCTTCTTCTCTGCCTTAAAAGCATTATCAAGAAAGGAAGTTCATTATGGAATATATGCCACAATGGAACAGGTAAATTTGCCCATTTCTGTATACCGTATTAACCCTGGAACTGTGTTACATTTCGATTGTAATTTACATCTCTCCCCCTCTTTGCTACAATGTTTTGCTTCTTCTATCTATTCATCCGTCAGAGAAATGGAGAATTTCTTGCATACCCGTGTCTTCGAAAAAGAAAAAAGATTTTTTTTTTTTTTAACTTCTTTAAATGCATTAAAATTACTTGAAGCTTGGTTTTCCAACTACAGATCCACTAGATAATGGTTGGTCC